CAATCAGCTTGACTCAGATCTGTGAGTGCCCTCCCCCATCCTCCACCGTTCTCTGCCTGGATGCCAAGATTCATTCGGCACAGGATTCTGGTTCATCGTGGCAGGGTTGGAAGTTTGAGTTTTGGGTAGCTACCAGGTTTTATAGGGGCCTTTGACCAACACTAGGGCCAAACAGAAAGCCACTGAAAGATTTTAAGAGACACAGTGGATCATGTGTGATTTTATTTGGCTGTCATTTGCTTAGTAAATGAGAAAAAGAACAGAATCAAGAGGTGGATGTCACAAAGAGGCTATCACTGTCATTCAGAGGAAAGATGGGCACAGCACTGAATTTGGACATGAAGATACATATAGGATTGAATGATTAGATTACAAATGTAGTTTAGAGGTAAACCCAACAAGACCTGCTAATAGATTGGACGGTGTGTGTGAAGGAGTAGATAGATGCATAACACATTAAAATGAAAACTTTGGTTTGCTCAATTGGATAGAAAATGTCACCCCAAATGAAATGCTTCCACTGACCTACTAAATCCCACCTCCTAAAGCAATGCCCCACCTCCAAAAGTTATTAGCACATTCCAAAACACCCCCACCATCTGGAGACCACTACCCAATCCTTTGGGGATAACCTTTCATACCTATATCAAGAACTTGGTTTCCACATTAGAGGATCCTCAAGTTTGTAGCATTTTTGCCTTGAGAAACGTCATATCCTCAGAACTAAAAGGTAAAAGAAGATGCCTGTGAGTGTTTTCTACTTTGGACTATTGCACACTATATCCCCACTCACACGCAGCCCCACTCCATGAGTCTTTAACACAGGCCTGGCTACCAGTACTTCATTTGACCAATCTGAAGCCCAGAGTGAAAGATAGAATGTATTAAATTACTGAGAGATCTCACCTTCCCCCGCTTATGACTCCATTAACCTGCAGTTTTGCTTGTGTGGCTTTTCTGTCAGGCTGGCGAAGACTCCTCTTGGTATATTGATAGCACTAGCATGGGTTCCCCTAAGCCATGGGCTTTGTGAAAATGGCTCACCTGACCTTTGGAAAAGTACTTTCTCTTGGTTTTTCATTTGCTTCATGGGTGGCTTTGCTGATGGTTAATCTCAGTTGTCAACTTGATAAATCCAGAATCACCTGTGGTATAGGACTCTGGGCATGACTGTGGGGTTTGTCTTGATTAGGTTCATTTTGGTGGGAAACCCTCCCACTGTGGGTAGCCCCATTCCCTGGGATGGGATGCTGCTAGAGTGTATAAAATGAGAAAGTGAGCTGAGCATTCAGCTTTCATCAGTCTCTGTTTCATGCATCCAATGTGACCAGCTACCTTAGGCTCCTGCTACTGTGGCTTCCCCACCATGATAGACTGTCATCTTAAACTGTGAGGCAAAATAAACCCTTTCTCCTTTAAACTGCTTTTGTTAGGGTATTTTATAAACAGTAATAGGAAAAGTAACTAAAACACTCCTTTTGGGGGTATTATACAGATTTCTCCTCACTGTGAACTAGTGTTCCAGTACTCTGCCTCTGGCCTGGTTCTCCTTAAGCACAGTCTGCATTATCTCACCTAATCCTGTAACTTGAAATACCATCCCTGTGCTTATGGGTCTGAAGTTTATGTCATCAGCCCCAACTTCTTCGCTAAGGCTGATTCATAATTATTGATAAATCATCTGGGATTGACTGATTTATAGACAGCTTACATTTTACACATCCCAAACCAGTGATATTCTTCTAGTGATTCTTGTTTCAATAAATGGCAATTCTTTTTTAACAGTGTCTCAGACCAAAAGTATAAGGAACCCACGTGAATTCCTGATCACTGTATCAACACTCTGTTCCTCAATCTTATTTGTTATGTTATGAATGTGAAATGCTCCCCGCAGGCTCATGTGCTGGGGACTTGGCTGCTAGCTGGTAAACTCTGGAGTAGTGATTGGATCATTTGAGTCTAGCCTAATCAATGTATTAATCCCTTGATGGGTTCATAATAGGAAGGGATTATCAAGAGGTGATGAAAAATGAGAGGTGGCACCTACCTGGAGCAGGTAGGGTACTGTGGCAGTATTAGCGAGGTCTGTAACTTTCTCTGACCCTTTTAGTGTTCTTTCTTCTTTGTTTCTTCTTCCTGTCTGCTGTGAGGTGAGCCACATTTTCCTCCACACTCCCTTCTGCCATGATGTATTGCCTCACCCTACAAGCCTGGAAACATGGAACCAGAGTTCCATTAAATCCTATTCCCATGTCATTTTGCCATAACAATGAGAAAGAAATTAATACTCATATCAATCTACCTTTAAGAGACTGAAGGATTAAACTTCTGCTCACCCACTCTTCCATTGCAACTCTAGTATAGAAACCATAATTTATACCTTGAACTGTTTTAATTGTCTCTTTTTTGGTCTTCCTGACTCCACGACCACTCACTTACATCCCAGTCTCCACACAGTAATTAGCTTACTTCTTCTAATATCCTAGTAAATATTCTGGTGTACTTCGATGCAACTCCAGGTCCCACCCACAGAACTCTGTGTCATGGACTCCAAAAAGTTCTTTGACTTCGTCATATACCAGTTACTCTACCATTCACATTGCTCAGCTGCTCATCTCTGTGCTGCTCCTTGGATGCAATTTGAATGCAACTCCTTAGGCCCCTGACCTCAGTGCTCCCTCTCTGTGGAACATCCTCTCCCTAGTGGCTCTCTTACTTGCTTGAACTTTATTCCCAAGTGTCACCTCAACAGGCTTGCCCGCTCAGCTTTTCAATGACAGTGTGCCTTATCTACTTCCACACTCTACCGCTACTATCTTTAATTTTTCTTCAAAATACTTGCCACTATTACCACACAACTGGTTGAGGTCATTCTATTCCATTCAGACAGACATTGTTGAATGGCCAAGAATGACTTTTCCAGTGCTGGCTATTCTGGACTCTCAAGTTCAAAGATTTGTGCAATGTTCTGCCAGACATGGAGGCTTAAAGGTCCAAGCCCAGAGAACTAGAGACTTATGGCTGTCAGGTTTAGAAGCCAGAAGTGTACTTCCAGATGCTTAGGTGGGAGGCTTATTGCTCTGAGCTGTAATCACCCTTGGCCTGACCCCTGGCAGCTAGTATAGCTCTCAATTCTTAGCAACAACTAGGAGTAATCATGGTTGGTGCCAGGTTAGTGTCACAGCTCTGAGGTCTTGGGCATCAGGACCCTTTGCTTGATCTTAACAGCATCTAGCATCTCCACTTTGTGTTACCAGCTCAGCTACTCTGCTTACAATAAAGATCATAGGTAGGCAAGAAAAATGTCAAGAAAAAACCTTTTATCGGGCCTCCTATATCAAAACCAGGAGCAGCACAGAAGTGTGGTTTCCAGCTAGCTGGAAAAGTAAGTAAACAGCCACGGGGAGAGTGTGGCATACAAATATAAGACTTCAATTTGTACCTATCACAACTGCTTCCAGTTCCACCAATCCCAAGCCTTGTACACAGAGCAACCACTGACTTCCATTACAACAGCCATGAGCTTCTGTTGGGTCACTGGGGAGTGCTATCTTTGTGGCCTGAAACTGGAAGCTGAACACAGGCAGGGTGAGCAGAGTTACCTGTGGTTCACCAAGACCTTTGATGGCAGCCCATACTAGTTGTCTGAAGCAGTTGTGGCCAGAACACGGTCTGAAGGAGCAGGTGTCATGGCCGGCCTCAGATTCAGGTGCAGTGGCCCTTGTGCTTGGCAAGTAGTTCCTTCAGTGTGTCTGTAGAGATGTCGAAGCAGCCAGGGTGCCATGAGCTTTCACTGAGAAGGACAGCTAATAGATACCTTTCTGCCCCAAGGCACCCTGACTAAAAGAGGGTCTGACAACTGTCAAATAATCAAACCAGCAAAGACCAACAACTCTGTTTATTTAAAGCAAACAGGGAAAGGATGCTTAAAATAACAGTTTTTAACCTTTGGGTAATTCTACTTGTCCTGCCACCTCTTGACTTTTTATTTATTTGTTTGCTAATTATCTCTTCTAGAACGAAAGTTTAAAAGGTGATGAATTTTGCCCATTATGTCTATTGCCTAGATCCATAGCTAGATAATTGTCTGAAACCTAACAGGTACATTGTAACTAGTTTAGTGAATAAATGAATGATCGAATTGTATCTCCCTTTGATTTAATTATTATTAATAGCATTTTGTGTACATGCATGTGTGTGAATGTTTCTGTGTGTGCACCTGCACATATACACGGCACACCAGTGTACATGTGTGTAGTGGTCAGAGAACAACTTCAGGTATCATTCTTCTTCAGATACTGTCCATTTTTGAGACAAGGTCTCTCAGCGGCCTACAATTTGCCAAGTAGCCTAGGCTGGCCAGTCAGTGAGCTTCAAGGTTCTGCTTTGCTCTCTTTCCCCAGCACTGGGATCACAAAGGCACAGCACCATGCCTGGCTGCTTTTCTGTGTGAGTTCTGAGGGATCAGAACTCAGTTCCTCATGTTTGTGAGGCAGGCACTTTACTGACTGAGCTCTCACCCTCATCTCTCAAGCGATCGTTTTTAAAAGCCACTGAGTCAAATACCTGATCAGGTGTGGTATCTGAATATTTCAAGAAATAAACAGAACAACAAAAATGAATGGAATTGTAAAATAGCTGATAGCAGCTGTATTTTCCAGGGACCAAAAAACTACCATCTCTCATCATAGGCACAGCAGGAACTGAAGTGTCGATATTTCCTTTCCCACAATTGCCTATCAGAAGAAAGACTAAACAGACAAACCCATAAGTTGCTGTGAGCCTTTTCCAATGTTTTAGGTGTTAACTAAAACACAGATCACTTCCAGTCTCCTCGATCATTGAACTAAAATTCCAACTGAGTGCAGCTCACTTCTGAAATGTATTGATATCGTCTAAATAAGAGGAACTGACAGGAAAAGAAAAAGTCAATCACACAAAGCACTGGCAGCGGTTTTTATTTTATGAAATCCAAGTTATTTCAAGCATACATAGACGGCTACCATCACCAGAAAAATTGAAGAGAATAATTCGGGGAAAAAAAACATTAAAATTTTCCATGATGAGTGGACAAATTGAAAAACCATGCACACCAAAATGAAAATATTCAATTAATGCTAAATGGTACATGTCTGCTTTTCAAAATGTAAATAAATGGCATGAGTCAATGATGGTGACTGTCCAACTCTGTCAATACATAGCTTTCATTCTATACCCTCATCTTTGAATTTTGTTCACTTCTTAGTCAAACAAAATCTCCCTAGAAATCTAAGATCATGATTGGAGAGAGAGTTAACAATCATCACCCCCTGGAACAATGGAGGATGGACTGACACACAAAGGCCTCTGTTCTAGATCCTCCCCAAGACAAACCAATGTCTTCCTGACATGTCAAAGTTTTGGGATGGGAATGTTGTACAACCCTGGACTTCGTTCTGGTTATCAAACTGAGAAGTGGACTCCTGACTCTTAAAAGAGGGATAGAAACTCACATACACATGCAGTGTCTGTTTCCAAATATATTTTGGGAAATGAATTAGCACTATGGATCACTGATCAAAAGGCCATACTACAAAGTGTTTGTTTTTATCCTAATCTCTAACTCAGATAAATTGGAATAGAAAATGATTCCTTTTAACTCTTAAAAATAAACCTTCAGCCCAAATGAAACATGCATCTCTAGAAAGAAAGCTTCCTACATTGCCTATCTTTTTTTATAAAAATAGCTTTGACATGCTTTGGAGGCCCTGAACAATTTGTACTGCAAATAGCACAGTAGTTATTGTTCAAAGACTGGCTCAGGGGCTACTGAGATAGACATCCTTTTTCAGGCAAAACATCAGACTGGTTGTTCAATCAATAAAGGTTTTACCTAAACCAACATTTCTCAGATTTTACTATGCTACAGAATCAGCTGTAGGGCTTGTTGAAACACTGGATACTGGATCCAGAGCTCCTGATTCAGCTGGTATGGAGTGAAGCTTGAGAATCTATGTTTTCAGTAAGTTCCCCAGTGATGCTGATGCTGGTGGTACAGGGACCATGCTGAGAACTACTGCTCTAAGCTGTAAGCTGTGTGTATATATGTTCTTTAAAGAATAATGAAAACTTGGAACCCAGTATCCACATGGCACTGGCTGAAGTCTTGTCAGGGCAGTGTCCAAGGAAAACCTTTGTGGAAATAATTTTGCCTAATTACTTTTACCTTCTCCTTTCTAGAAACAGCAGCAACCAGGTGGCAAAAGAGCCCTTGAGACTATTAGCATTCCAGTTTTCTGTGTGGGGAGCAAGGGTATTTCCTAATTCTCACCAGAAGGGCTGTGATTTACCTAGCATGTCTCCAGATGCTCTGAATCTCTGAAACCTCCCAGGACAGGATCAGTGCCCCTGGGGGGATGAAAGCCAAGGCTACATGTCTCTACCCAGGCTGTCTATCTCATCTAGCAGGAAGTCCATATCTTCCCGGCTGACTTGAGGGCTGATGACCACCTGGCGGAAGAAATTGACCTTCCCCCGGTGGGGTTGGTAGCCCAGCATGAGACTTCCCTTCTTCATCATCTTTTCCTTAATGGCTGGAGCCACCTGCAAGAAGAGAGAGAAACAGGTGAAATTAATCATAAAAGCACTTCAACTGAATTTTAATCTACCATCTACTGATCTGAATCCTATAATAACTTACTGAGAACTTATGGCACATGTATACTAAGTTAAGTAGTTTAGACCTATTAGTTCATCTTCAAAATACCACAGAGAAGATCCTACCAATATGTCCATTTATAGGTGAGGAAACTCAGGTGCATGGAGAGGAGACAAAGATCCCTGGGTATCAATAGTCTCGCTCCAAGCCTAGGATCTTACAAACAAATCATTATGCAGTCAAAAGATGTGTTCTCTGGGTTCACAGACTGAAAAGTATTGAATGTCACATCCTTAAATTTGTCTGAGCTATAAAACACTTCAGTTAAAGCATTATGACATCCTTGAATTTATCTTAACTACAAAACACTCCAGTTAAGGCAGCATGACAAAAGAAAAGTAATCACAGATGGGGAAAAAAAAACCTTCACGTATCTACCAGAATAAAACAAATATAATTACGGGAGAAAGTTCTTTCTCTTATTTTTTGAGACATTATCTCACTATCTAGCCAGGACTCCTGGTCTTCCTGTGTCAGATTTCCAAATGCTAGGATGACAGGTTTGAGGTTCTCTTTTGAAGACTAATAATTATTAATTTATGAGGAAGAACCTATATTATTTTATAATTTTTGTAACTTGCAAATATATGTCTAAAGTAAACAATATAGAGAAAAATGAAAGTTTGATATGGTCCTCATCTGTGAAATACAAATATACCATTTTTTTAAATTAAGAGAAATAGGTGGGATGGTCCACTGTAGACCACATGCTTAGTATGTACAAGGCCCTGAGTCTGATACTCAGCATCACATGATCTAGACATGACGATGCATACATGCAATCGCAGCACTCAGGAGGTGGAGGTAGGAGGGTCCAAAGTTCAAGATCATCTTTGGCTACAAAGAGGGTTTGAGACCAGTCTGAGATACATGACACCCTGTTTAAAAAAAGAGGGGGGAGAAGTAAGGAGGTTTAAAAAAAAGTAGGAAGCCCAAAGTTTAAGGATAAATATTTGCAGTAGGCATGAGAGTATTGGCTCTGATAACTGAAATGCCCATATGCTTCTAAAATATTCAATGTTTGAAGGGATTAGTCCATTTAAGAACCACAAGGGAAAGCCAATCTGTGTTCACATTGTTATAGACTCTCTGAACAGAAAACAGGACCCCACGGCTACTTAAAGCAGGAAGCAGTTGATTTGTATGCCAGCACAGTCTCTCAAAACCAGAGCCTCGAACAAAGACCCAACCTTTTATACCCTCTGTTTGTTTCCCTTTACAGTTCAGTTTCTTTGTCTCCCATGTACGGCAACACACACATACACACACACACATCCTGATTGGGTGTTCCATGCTACAAGGTCATGGCAGGGAAAACTGTGTGCAATTACATGACAATTAAATTGCCCACAGAAGAATGTATTTGTGAATACCACCAGGCAGAATGTACTTTTAAACTCTATAGGTGAGAGGCAAAATTCCACGAATCTTTCCCTCACAGCATGACAGTCCCAGACACTCTAGTGTTTTAATATACATATTCTGTATCAGATGTCTCCCTGAAAACAGACTAGTCTATTTCAACTCATACACAACACAATTTTTATCTTTTCCAAAGATGATGAGAAATTCAGGTGTTTGAGAGCTCTGGAGATGTGAGATGTTGAACTTGGCCACAGGGCTTGCTCACGGGATGTTCAAGGGTAATATTTTAATAAATATTTTCTCTCCATATGTGCTATTTTTAGAACCAAAGTCTTACAAACATAGACTATTCTGTTTACAACAAAGGTAAAAGAAAAATCTAAATCACTACTCAGCAAAATCACCTTGCTGTCTTAACAAAAGAATGGGGGAGGGGTTCTTACACTATAACAAGTTATATAAAGAAAATATATGGGCATAAGGAAGAAAGGTAGAAAAAGAAGATGAAGGCAGAAATCCAGTGAATGAAATAAGGTGAGTCATATGTACTATAAATTTATGGAAATGCTTCATTTTTATTTTACACATTCTAAGTACCACATAGTTGTTTCCTCCTAACAGAAAGTTTTCCCTCCCAGAGGAGGGAAAGAGGCACTTGAGACTCAGAACCTAAATGAAAGTTACAAAGTGTTCTAATCTGCCTGCGGTTGCTGTGACACAAACTCTGGCCAATACCAACTTGGGGAGGAAAGGGTTTATTCAGCTTACATCTTCCCAGGTCGCAGTTCATCAGGGAGCCCAAGGTAGGAACTCAGGGCAGGAACCTGGAGACAGGAGCTGGAGCACAGGCCATGGAGGAATGCTGCTTACTGCCTTGCTCCCCTGGCCCAGGCTCAGCCTGCTTTCTTATATGATACAGAACAACCTTCCCAGGGGTGGCACCACCCACATCACTCAAAAGCAAGAAACTACCTCACAGACATGGCCACAGGTCAGTCCAATGAAGGAAATTCCTCAATCGAGGCTCCCTCTACCAAGTGTGTCAAGTTGACAACTAAAGCTATCCAGCACACAGAGGTTCAGGGAGTAAATGAAATTCAAAGGCTCAAGAAGGACCTAAAATTTGCAAGATTCTCAAGGCCTCACTCCAAGGTTATAGAGAAGAGAATGATGACTGAATTGCTTGCATATTAGGCAAGAAGCTCCAGGATCTTCATGGTGCATCACCACATCACCTGTTTCTCTCTCTCTCTCTCTCTCTCTCTCTCTCTCTCTCTCTCTCTTTCTCTCTGCATGTGTGTGATATGCCTGTATGTGCACATGTGTATATGTGTATGATGGCACTCACAACCATGCACGGAGACCAGGGAAGGACACCCATTGGTGCTTTCTGCCTCATTCTCTTGAAACAGGGTGTTCTAGTTTTCTTATTGTGGCTGTGATAAAACACTCTCACCAAAATCAACTTTGGGGAGAAAAGGGTCTATTTCACCTTACAGATTACAGACCATCATTGAGGGAAGACAGGGCAGGAACTCAAGCAGAACCCATGGAGGAGCACTGCCTGCTGGCTTGCGCATGAGCTCCTGCTCAGCTAGCTTTTATATATAGCCCAGGACAACCGCCCAGGAAATGGTGCTGTCCATGGTAGTTTGCACACTCTTGCATCAAGTAACAATCAAGATAACAATCAAGATAACCCCCCACAGACATGCATACAAGACATTAGAACCTAGGCAACATTTCAGTTGAGACTCCCTTCCCAGGTGACTCTATGTATGTCGAGTTGACAGTTAAAGGTAACTAGGGCATGGGGTCTCTTAATGAACATGAAGAGTGCCATTTTGGATACACTGTCTGGCCAGGGAATTCTCAGGATCCAACCATCTCTTCCTCCTCACCCCCCAGAGCTGGGGTTACAGGCATGAATGGCCATTCCTGGCTTGGATGTGGCTGATGATCCCTGAGAAGCACAGATTATAGAAGAAGGAAAAAGGGGGTCTAGTCATCAGACCTCCACAGAAAAGAAGCTTTACCCGAGCATTTGAAAATCCTCATTTGATGCCCAAAACAAACAAAAAATACCATTTCCATCAAAAGATGAGGAAATTATGTTCATAGCTGCACAAATATAATGGGAAATATTTAAATGTAAAATATAAACATTAGATGTAAAATACTGTGTAATGTATGCATCAGATATTGTCTAGGATTAGATGCTTTATCAAATTAATCACCACAAACTTAGGTAGGGGGCCTCTTATGTCTATGTGGACATATATGGATGCATGTACATCACATGTATGAGTATGTGGATGCACATATGGGTATGTTCTCTCACATGTAACATCAACTTCTAGTTTACCTTATGCTATTGCATTGTCTTAGAATCTCCCCATTTGGTCACCAGGCAATGCAGAGCCATCGTCTAATTGAGGCTCATGATAAAACCATATTTTTTTTCATTTAAATAAATAGCCATTTGCCCCCCCCAAATGTAAACTGAGGCTGTGAGGAAAAACTCCACTACAGGGCCAGTATGAGCAATATTAAGACCCGGCTTATGAGGGCCAAAGGTCTGACAAGGAGAGCCACAAACAATCAATCTCAGAACTTACAACTTGTGATACTGTTGATAATTTTAAGGTTACAGCTTCCTTCACATCTATTTCTATCATCCTCTGGTTACCTGGCACATAACCAGCTCTGGCTCTGCCAATTTAAAATTGGGCCTAATTAGGTCATTATTCTAGCTCACTTTTCAGTACTTCCCTTTTTCTCTCAAAAGGGGTATTTCAGGGGCTGGAAAGATGGCTCAGTGATTAAAGTACATAGTGCTCTCACAAAAGATCCAAGTTCAGTTCCCAGCACTCACATCAGGAGCTGCAACTCCAGCTCCAGGATATCAGATGCCCTCTTCTGACCTCTGTGGGAATTGCACACAGATGCACATACACAATGACTTTACATGCATGCTTCAGTACACATACACAAACACACACACACACACACACACACACACACACACACATACACACACACACACATAACTAAAAATAACAAAGTAAATTTTAACAAAAAGTATTTCATGCTTTAACTTTGGAAAGCATTAGCATTTTAATTCCAGCTTATGATGCAATTCCAGGCTCAATGAAGCAGTTATCAGAATGAATCTGTCAGGCTGACATTGTTTGTAAGCAAATCAGAAATACCTTAAAATTTTTTTACATTTTATCTATTTATTTGTATCTGGAGGGGGCAGTAGTAAATGAGGTGGCCCACATGTGGAGGTCATAGGACAGCTTGTAGAAGTCAGTTCTCTCATCTCTGAGTTCCAGGGATGGAACTCAGGTTGTTGTGCTTGGCAGCAAGTACCTTTAACCAATAAGACATCTTGCTGGTCCCAGAAATATTATCTTATGCCATACATTATAAAAACAAGAGAAATTTTCACATGCTTTAGTATAAAGGCAATATGGAGGTTTAAATTCTTGTCTTTATGTAAGGCACAAAAATGTGC